CCATGTAGCAGTATAAATTGAACTAAATCCACCTTCAGTCAATTTTGTTATTTTTTCAAATTGCTCAAAAGGTATCCATTCCAAAATATAAGTTGGCAGAGATGAAAGCTTTTGACATTGTTGAATAAAATCATCAATTATGTTATTTCCAGATGTCAAAGTGGTGTTCTGTAATTGTAATCTAATGCAACCTTCACAGAACCTATCAGAGTATCTTGTTAATTTACACTTGTTACATTCTTTTGGTTTACCTTCTTTATATGTTGTATTCCGTAATTCAAACCGATAAATAAACCTCTCCTTACAATATCTTTTTTCATTTTCAGAAAGCTCCTTGTTTTTTTGAACCAATGAAAAAAAATAATCTTTTCTACTTTCTCCATCAGAATTATTAACATTAGCATTACCATACATTTCATTATAAATTTTATATACAAAGTCCTTTTTTTCTAGTGATAACGATGATATTAATTTAGCATGTGACATTATATAAATTTGACTTGATGTTTTAATGAATAGAATGGAGATTTTTTTTGAATAACAGAAAGAAATGTTGCCGTGTTTCTAATTGTAATTTTTTTCTTTTTTTTTATGTTTCCCTAATCTAACAATTTTACCCAAATTTGCAATGTTTTGTTGCACAGGAAAATGCTGTTAAAGACATGAAACGGTAAATTCAGTGCAAATCATGAATCTTCTAAATCAAAATCATTTTCTGAAAATGATAAATGGTTGTGGTTATTTTTACATCGCCGTATCATGCGAATTCCCATTTCTATCTATCTATTTGGCAACCGAAAAATTTATCAAAACGTCAGGGTCGAGTGAAATCGTGTTTCGCTTTAGATGTTTTTTTGCATATTATTTTGTTGTCATTATTATTACCGGTCAATTCAATGATCGATAAACGAACATGTACAAATTGTTTTTGATATGATCTGGAAGGGAAATTTTTATTTTTAATTTCCCTTTCGTAGAAAATAAATAAAATCCATTTGCAAAAAAAAATTTTTTTTTAATTAAGAAAAAAAAACCTTGGTTGCTTTTTTTTTAACAATCGAAATTTGTCAATAACTTTTGATGTTTACATGAAGTTTATTCTTCTATAACGATAAACTTGAAAAAAAAAATCCAATCGATCCAATCGACCTTTAATCTGGGATAAATAAATAAACACGAGGACAAAAAGATTTTTTTAACAATCGAAATTCGTAAATAACTTTTGATGTAATTTTTTTGCTCAACGCAACGAATAAAATAAAAATATTGATATAATAATAATATGACTGGCTAATGTTGATGCTCCGAACGAATTTATAGATATAATGTAAACTAAATCATACATAGAACGCCATTTCCGCACTACGCTCCTCAACCCTCGAATTCGAATACAACGTAAAAAGCAAAGCCAATGCACCGTTCTTTGCGATTTTTTTGGGGGGGTTAGTAGTTTCTCACCTTTATATTTAATAGTGATATTATAAATAATTTCTCATAATTATCATATCTTTGGATTTTTGAAATTTGGATATCGAATATGCACATTCAATAATTTGATTGTTGGCTACTGTTTAAATAATGATTCATTTTTATGGGACAAAATTATTCATTCATTCATTCTATAAAAAAGAATTTGCAGGAAAGAATTTTCGATGTTTTGACTTGCAGATCAATGAATGGATTTATTTTCTTTCATTTCAAGGTCATAAAACTTTGAGACATCTGATAGCCTTCCATTCTTTTCAATTGCCCGTTGTACGCCTACCTGCACTACAAAAATAGGCCGACAAATGTCCAAAACACATTGTGGAAGAACCCTAGGATGGTAAATTGGGGCAAGTGGGAGCATTTCTTCGAACGTAACTAATTTCAAAACTGCGGAAGGATCCACACGCACGCCTTTGCCTACACGGAAAAAAGGTCAGGTGAGCTGATCTCACATGATCTGTGCAGACGTTCCTGAACCAGTCACGGAAAAACGTTGTACGATTTGGTCATGAAGTATCAGATAGCACCATTGTAATCATCAAATGTATGGAGGACCAAATCTGAATGGAGAACCATGCTCCAAAGGCCACTATCTGTCAAAACCTATTGATCTCTCAATCTGTTAAGATATATCTATCGTTTCGTAAAGCAAGGAGAGCTGGTCATCTCCCATGATGTATTTCATGGCGTATTTCGCAAATCCTGTGGATGTTATATATTGAAAATTTATGTGGCTATTCCATGTCAGCAGCCGAGCAGCCCGAGTTGTTCAACATTAATGAAACTGATGAATACCGAAACCATATCATGACAAGGAGGCTGGATGCAATAGAATTGATGATACTTTTGCTCCGGTACCCAATAACCAGATGTTCCACCTTCATTAAGTTTATCGACCGTAAAAATAGCCCGATGCTCATTAAAAGGGTATTTACTACTTCACTTGAGTGCCTTCTAAGATCTGCACTTGCTAAACAAGGAAATTTTAAAAGTGACGAGAGCAACAATGAAGACATGGACTGTGACCAACATACTTCTTACTTGGCTGACGAGTTTGACAAATACTTTTACAGATCAAAACACGGCCTTTTGAAAACCTCGCCTACTCTGACAATTTCCAAAATTACACAATCCAAAACCCAGGTCCGAAATCGAAAATTATTCAATACCAAAGATAGAAAGAGCAGGGTGGGTAATCGCCCGGCGAATGTCACACGTTCTTTTATGCTTCGTTAAATAGGAGGTGGGAGACTGTGAGCTATTTTTTTTCAACATCTCGAAGGTTGTGGCAAGATCTGAACAAGACATACTGGGAGGTTGCACCACAGTGAAAGATTCCAATCCTTGTTCCCCTAAGATACAACCAAAGCGATAATCTCGCTTAAAAATAGCCTCCTAAAAAAAAGAGCACCATTTCAGAGGAATATGTGACGATCTCAAGAGCTTGAGAAATATGAAGTCACGTGAAATTTTATTGCAAGAAATTCAGGTGATTTTTAAAATCGTTCACAACAGGATCGGCAATTAGTTTTACCAATTTTGAAATCTTGCAGTTGCATAGAGCCGATGCTTGGAAGGGCAACTTGGCGTTCCGCCAAGACGTCACTTCTAATATATATATGGGCATTAGAAAGTTTAAATGAATTCTATTGATAGAGTATCTATACGAATGACACATGAGAGGATGAAAAATTCACACGGGATGATAATTATATTTATTAAGTTTTATAAATACAAAAAATAAATACTTTTTTTCTCTTTTAAAAAAATAAACGATAATTAGATATTTACATGAAATCGAAGTTTTTTTAAAATTAAGGTGAAACACTAAGATCGAGTAAATATTTTGACTCTAAATTATTATTGATGTCTGCCTGAAACATTTCATTATTTTTATCAATGGAAGAATAATCATCATCATTATCTAGATGATGAGGTAGATAACAATAATAACCATCATCCTCATCATAACTGCTGCTGTTTCTGGCGCTGTCACTATTAATATTGCTTTTGCCACTATTTTGACCATTATTGTTGTTATTATTATTGATATTATTATTATTATTGATATAATTTTCATTAAACTCATCATCGTAATCATCATCATTAACAATAAGAATGTTTTGGAAATCACTGAAATTAAAATATCTGCTGGTATAAATGGCATTAAAATCATGATCCAATTTGACATCTTCCATATTTTTGGTAAATTTATCTGAGCTGTTGAATTGATGACGTATTTCATAATCTTGAGATTGTTCGACTACTTGCCACCAATTATTAAATATATATGATAATAATCTAGCTGGTGGTCTTGCATATGGATTTGGATCTGTGCAGTGTAAAGCCAAATCCTTGAATTTTGATGGAGTACTTTCCAAGAGATTTGGTCTTTTATTATTTTCACAAATTTCTTTTATCAATGACTGATCATGTGGTCTTTTGTAGAATGGTGGTTCACCAGTTGCCAATTCCATCATTAGAATTCCCAAACTGTACAAATCTGATCTTTTTGTGTACTTGTTTCCTTTCAACACCTCAGGTGCAATGTAAGGAAGCACACCGTAAAAACCTTTTTTGGCATCATCATTGATTTTATTATTATTATTATTATTATTAATGGCAGTGTAATCATTATAATCACTATAGGCAGGTAATGATAGTCCAACATCAGCTATTGTGGAATGAGTATCTCTGACATCCTCACCTATTTGTAAAATATTACCAGGATGGAGGTTACCATGAACTAGACCCTCTTTATGGATATTAGTAAGAGTTGAAGTAATATCACACAGCCACCAAAGTTTTTGTGACCAACTTATATTACTGAATTTATTTTCTTTGATAAAGTCTCTCAAATTACCAAATTCTGAGTATTGCGTTACGAACATGTATTCATCTGTTTTAACGTTAAACGTCATTCCGTAGATTTCCAAAAAATAACTTTTACGTTTTTTAGATTTCACCAATGTACACTTGTAATAATTCTCCAACTATGTGCATGTGCAAAAAAAAATTTTTTTTCGATCAATTAATTGTGCAATTCGCGAAATCCCCAAGATCAGATCAATAATGATAATATTTACCTCTTGAACATATTTTTCAGAAATATTTGCAGAATTTTTGATACTTTTTAGAGCGACCGTGATTGGAGCAGAACGTGTACAAACTGATTTATTAGTAGATTTAATTCTCTTGCCATCCATCCAAGTAGCACAATAAACGGTGGAGAAATGACCGTCGCCGATTTTTTTTAAATTTTGAAAGTTTTCAAACGGAATCCATTCCAAGAAACTGTCAGTCCATTTACAAGATTTCTTTTGAGTTTTCATGATAAATTTATCAACATGAAAATTTCCACTTGTCCATTTATTATTTTTTAGTGAACATTGTTTACACCATCCATCGGAATCTAGATATTTTTTAATGTGTTGGCACGAACTAGAGTCATTTCCTTTATCAACAACAACTATTGATGATAATTTATTTCCCATAATTATTAATATTAAATTATTATTATTATTATTATTATTATTATTATTATTATTATTATTATTATTATTATTATTATTATTATTATTATTATAATTATATAATTTTCAGTGATAATAGTTTCTTTAGAATATTTTACAAAAAGTATTTGATTTTGTTCTTTTGTATTTACAAAATATTAAAGAACGAGAATATTATTTTTGATTTATCAAAAATCAAAAATCATTAAATTATATTAGTTATTTAAAAATAAAAATTGATTAATGAAAGGAAAATAAATATATTACAAAAGAAAGTTGGGTTTTTTAAAATAAAATTTTTTTTTTACAAATAAATACATAATATTAATTATAAACAATAGTAAATTAATATTACGTACACAACATAAAAAAAAAAACCAAATTCAAATTTTATGCATGATTCAATTGGGAATATTTATTTATTGCTATTATTATATATTACTTGTCACGGGACACATAAAAAGAATTTTACCCTATACCAAAATTACCAATCTCGTCATTGATAATAGTAATAATAATAATAGTAATGGTAATAGAATAATAACGGATTTTGTACGTTTTATAATCCGCTGTTATTATTTATTATTATTATTACTATTAATGTGGCAAGATCCGCTGTGACAAGGATTATAAGGAAATAGCCTCCCTATTACTTTACTATTACTATTACTCTTAATATGTACTCGAATCACCTTTTTTACCACTCTCCAGTACTCTCTATCTGGAAAATTATACAAATTAACCGCTTATTTGATAATTTATTATGTTTCATTTTACATATTAAAAAAACAATACTTTGTTCTTAATATAAAAAATTATATCTTTATAAAGTCAATCTAACAAGTCGGTGGTGATGTTAAATTTCATTCTCGGATATGAAATTTAAAAAATCTAGATACTTTAGATGTCTCACATGTAACATTCATGTATTATCATTGGTTGCGATTAAATTTCTTAATATATTAAATCGTTGATAATGTTTACATCTTTTAATACAATTTACTAAATATAGCTTTTTCTAAATATAGGAAAATATAATAAACAATTATATGACAAATAGGGGAAATTTTATGGCCATAATTTAAACTTTTTTTTCCAAGATTTTAGTATAAAATTAGTTAATCATAAAAAGAACAAAAATTTTAAACATTGTTAGTTTCTTTTTACGTATTGTTTTTTAAAATAGTAAATTACGTCAATTTTTATTATGAATTCTTATTTTACCATTCACTTAAAATCTAAATATATTATTTGGTGGTGGTACATGTGAAAGATCTGCCTGCATTTTTTTATTTTGGGTTATTATTTTGATGATGTAGTCAGACGCACCAACCAATCGTTGACAATGTAAATAAATGACCGACTTGTGTGTATTACTTTTATGTATGAATAAAATGGTTTGTGTGTAGGAAACGCAGATTTAGAGTCTCAATGGACCGACGATTAAAGTTTATTTGAATTAACCTTTTAATTATTGTAACAAAACCGGACAAAGTAAATTAGGTTACAAAGTTGCAATATTAACAATTCAACATCTTCTAATCGATTATCTGCACATCTTCCAACTTGATTCATAATAATTAAAGAAAACATTGTTTGAATGACTACACGATTATTTTCCATGTAACCAACATGATATGCTCTTTCATAAAAATCAAAAACAATCAAATCGTTTGTTTTAAACTCTTATGAGTTGGTTAACACTAGGGTCAGATTAGCTTTTCCAAAAGATTATCATTTTGCTTTTGTTTTGATCAATTTTTCTTTCAAAAGAAAACAAATACAAATACATACTGTTGAAAAAAAGCGATGATGGGTGATGATAACATTGCTCTGTAAATGAGCGAATTACTCCCATCAATTGTTGTTTTCAGGCATTTCTTACAAACAAATTTTCTAATCTTTATTAGTAATAAAAAAAAAAATTTTTTCAAGCCCTCTTACCATAAACGGGTTTTGAGATGTTGTAAACGGTCAAATAATAAATCACGTCGATAATTTATTTAAAGGAAAAACAAGCTTCCTCAAATCTGTAGGTTTCAGGATAATGTTACCGAACAACTCACAAATGGAAAATGGTATCTGTAATGAAACCATTGGAATAATTACGGGTGTCGATGTTGATAATGAACAAGTCCGGATTGCCTTTCCTGTTAATTTCACCGTCGTTGGTGCTGTTCTCTCCAAGCAGAACTCAATTTCCGTACAGCATGCTTTTGGCCTGACTGTCCACAAGATCCAAGGTTAACCTTGCCAATTATATCTGTTTGTAACAGATATTTGCTCCTGGACAAGTTAAATTTATGTTGCACTCAGCCGTTGTATTAATGGGAAGACCTCAAAATCAAAGAGATTGGTTTATAGTTGATTAATCGATGGTTACGGACGGAGTATGCTTGGCTGGAAGCAATTGCTTTCAAGTCATTGTCTATTAACAACAACAATTAATAATAATAAAGTTGCCATTATTCTTATGTCGTATACCATGTGAAATAGGACGATGCAAACACAATTGCTAGTTTCTAATATAATAATAGAGTGTACAATTTTTCAAATAAAACTTCATTTTTATCAATTTAATCTTAGAAAACTTAATAAAAACTAGACTTTGGTTGATAGTTGGAGCATTCACAGTCTTAAGAAATTGTATTATCATCTATATGATTCAAATTTATTTTAGCAAATAAATTCCTATTTTTTTCGAGCAGCTTTTGGTGAATTTCTGATTTTTGGTATCCATTGTGTTGTGGAATCAATATGTGAATTTCGTGGTGATAAATCATCAATTAATTTTTGATTAGAAGTTTCATGAATAATACAAAATATTTTTCCCAGTGGAACTGAATTTTTTTTTTTGAAACTAAAATATGAATATTTAATTTTATTAATAAAAATCATTATAAGCTGATTACCTCTTGTAAAACCTAATACTAAATAACTGAAGCACAAAAAGATATTATTAATCGTAATAAAGTTAGGTATTATGGATCTGGGGCACTTTACCGACAATCAAAGTAAAGTCGAATTTGACGTAGAAATGGTCTTGAGAGGAACACCATGACCCCCACAGAAACCACAAGATCGTAATCGTGAAATACGGAATTCAAACAGTATTAAATGACCGTAACATTAGATCAACTATAGAATTTCTTCGGGGCATTGCCCATAATATTTCATTTTAAAATTTTTTTTTGTTCTAAAAAATTTTTTTTTGTGTATAAAAATAATAATAATTAATGTGTCACAATAAAAGTTTTCTGTAAATGATTGAACTGGTTTTTGATGCAAAGTAAGGATAATAAGTGGTGTTATTAGTTAATTAACGGTTGATTTAACTTGTTATAAAAAACCAAACTTTTAGCTAGTTATCCAGGTCTTCACACAGTCCTTGGCAAATTGTTAACACAATACTTGTCAGTAAAGTGTCCGGTTCCGTTCAGCTGAAGTTCTATTAGATCATTCAATAACACCTTGTGTCCTAAGACATGGATTTTAACACCATATTTTTTTCATTAATTTCTTACAATCACCTTAACTCGCCTCCACCATCAAGGATCATGTGAAATAAACCATTCCCATCCCTAATAAAAATTGCATTTTTGATTGGGAAATTTTTTCTCAAAACTGTCGCCGAGGCATTTTTTTTTCATTTATTATAAAAAATTTATGCATATAAATCAATAATTATTATTTGTCAATCATATCCAGATCATATGGGGTCTGGACAATAGAAACGGATCATGTTGTGAAAATGATGTTTTGAGAAAATTTAAAAAAAAGATCTGCATTTCAAGTAATTTACTATTGTTTTTAAAA